GCAGTGTGCGTGTGTTTGTGTGTGTGTGTGTGTGTGTGTGTAGTAACGTTATGATGACTGATTGGATGCAGTATACATACTTGGGCTTGTTTTGTTAAACAGTTATCCTATGCAATTTATATGTTTGAAAACCGTCAAACTGACCCTAAACCAGCCCAAATTTTGTCCACCCGCCCAAGCCAATTTTTACCCGCACAATCAAATTCAAAACCGCCCAATCTGGCAACACTGCTCACATGTTTCCTCCAGTCCAGGAAGTGCAAATGTGCGTTTTGCAGCGTCATACGTAATACGTTACGCTGCGTCCTCACCAGGACGCTGCAAACAGTAGTTGCCGGGGAAACGAGACGCTTAGCACACGACAAACGCCAGTGAAACAGTGTGTAAGTGAGGGAAATTCACAATTTTCCTCAAAAAAACCGAAGAAAATGACGCGCCTTTGTATCTGTGAGATGTGCAGCTGTGGGTAAGAGTATTTTTTAAATGTGTTTGTTTGTTTTTGTAGTAATATTTGAAACCCGATAAGGAGTTTTGAATAATTGATGGGTAAATGGTAGAACGAATATCAAGTAACGTTAATGGAACAAATTCGGAAAACAAACCTTGACGGACATAAATTAATATTACATTTATTTTAATACCTTTTAATAATGGTTTGGAAATCAAAAACAAATAAATGACGATAATAGTTTTACAATAATTGATAACATTTTTATTTTGTTTTATGTTATTTTCCATTTTATATCATTGCATAATTCATAGGGAAGTAGTCAATTTAATTTAATTTAATTTAATTTATTTTTTTTTCAGTTTCAAGCAAATGCAAGTCCTCAATACACTTGTAGTGCAAAGAAAATAATATAAAGAGAAACAAGTGTATTTATGTGTGTAGGATGGAGGCTTTAGTCAGTGACAGAGTTTGTTGTATAGCTGTTGCCCTGGACTCCACAAACATGTTCAGTAAAAGTGCCGTGGAAACTTGAGAAAAATCTCTTGGTGAAAGACATATTAATGAGTTTATGTCTTCTCAAAAGTATAATTTTATTTTAAATGGCTCCTCTGTCGTAAATGCTTCTCCATTATCTTCAGCCGCCACCGTTGCACACACCAGCCCACGGCTCTTTACAAGAAAGGCAGTAAGACTAATGTGTTGTCAGAGTACTCAGAAAAGTATCCCGCCTATAAAGGGCACACGCGGCCCAAGAGTGTCAAGCCCCAACTGCAGTATAAAGCTCATCAGGACACGATGGAAGGAACAACCACCTTCAGGTACATTCTGGGAATTAATGGCTAATCTTTAGTCAAATAATTTACACAGTTTTATACATACATCTACTCACTAGGATTCGATAAGTGTTTTTTACATGCAAAGTGGCAGCACACTAGATGTTAGAACGGCTCCTCTATGTCTTTCTATAGGCTTCAGATCATCATATAATCTTTTTTGTTTTCTCATTTTCTCAGGACAGACTATGTCCCGTATGTGGTCACCCATCGCCCTGAGAAGCCGCAGGCCGAGTACAAGCCCAAGCCTGGAGAGATTGATTTAGGAACGACCTATAAACAAGACTTCAACCCATATGAAGTGCAACCATTTGTTCCTTCACGTCCGAAAGAGAGAGTATATACCACAAATGCAAAACTGGACACCGTACCCACCTATAAAGGTAATGAGAATCTAGGTCAGTTAGGTCATGTGATGCTTTCTGAGCATGCAGTTTCAGAATACACACACTGAACAACTGGAACAATTTTTATTAACAGCCTTATCTAAATATCATTGCATAATTCATAGGGAAGTAGTGAAAAAAAATGTCAGGTAGTCAATTTAATTTAATTTAATTTAATTTTTGTCAGTTTCAAGCAAATGCAAGTCCTCAATACACTTGTAGTGCAAAGAAAATAATATAAAGAGAAACAAGTGTATTTATGTGTGTAGGATGGAGGCTTTAGTCAGTGACAGAGTTTGTTGTATAGCTGTTGCCCTGGATTCCACAAACATGTTCAGTAAAAGTGCCGCGGAAACTTGAGAAAAATATCTTGGTGTGGTCACCCGTCGCCCTGAGAAGCTTCAGGCCGAATACAAGCCCAAGCCTGGAGAGATTGACTTAGGAACGACCTATAAACAAGACTTCAACCCATATGAAGTGCAACCATTTGTTCCTTCACGTCCGAAAGAGAGAGTATATACCACAAATGCAAAACTGGACACCGTACCCACCTATAAAGGTAATGAGAATCTAGGTCAGTTAGGTCATGTGATGCTTTCTGAGCATGCAGTTTCAGAATACACACACTGAACAACTGGAACAATTTTTATTAACAGCCTTATCTAAGTATCTGCTGTTACTTATATTAAATAAAGTATTTTTAAATTTAAATGAATTTATACTCAACAACTTATAAGGAACATCATAAACACTAGTGTTCAAAAGTTTGGGGCGAGTAAGATTTTATTTTTTTATTATTTTTTAAGAATCCCTAAGGATGCATTAAATTAGAATGATTTATCATGTGACACTGATGCTGAAAATTCAGCTTTGCCTCACAGGAATAAATTACATTTCAAATTTCAAATAAATGGAAAACAGTTATTTTAAACTGTAATAATATTTCACAATCTTACTGTATTTTGATCAAAACAAATGCAGCCTTGGTGAGCATAGAAGACCTATTTTAAAACATAAAAAAATCTTACCGACCCCAAACATACAGTAGTATATCATAAAAGCCAACAATATTTTCAGTACACGGTACAAAAGCTGAAATGCATAAAAAGAAGTTATTACAGTAAGTACACGGTAAAATGCATAAAAAGAAGTTATTACAGTAAATGCCTTTGTTTGTTAGTAAAAGTTTTGTATGTTTTGTATGATGAGGATTTTCGTCAGTGGGAGATCAGCAGACGGGAATTGACTAAGCCTGACACACCGTATCAACCCCCTGTTACAAAGTTTGGGAATTCCACAACATTCCAGGACGATTTCGTCCACCGAGGCCTAGTGCCACGTGAGAGCTACAAGCCCCCTAACATAGCCAAGCTATCCGATACTCCTTTTGAAAACATGACCAGCAACAAGCTCTCCTATGTTCCGCATGCTCTCGAAGCCCGGTACGTTAAACCGCCAATAGAATACAAACCCAACAGCCAACCTTTCCAGGACTTCACCACCCATCGACAAGACTATCAAGGCCTGCCAAGTCCGCTGACCAAAAGCTGCAAGCCTGAGCCGCTCAAAGTAGCCTCCAACAAGCCCTTCCAGGGCAGCACGGAATTCCGTGACCGTTTCCAGCAGTGGCCCGTATCCCTCCAGCAGTTGCAGAAGTCGGTGGAATATATGAGTCCAACAGAGCAGATGGACCTGACTACCACCTCGCACACCGACTACATCAAGCACCAAATCCAACCCTTCATTTCCGCCAAACCCTTCTCACTTCCCACTAAGTCCTCCAGGCCCTTTCAGGGCAGCACCACCATGAGAGATGACTTCCAGCCGTGGGCGGCTCCCCGTCAAAGCATGATCCGGAAACAAGAGGAAATCCAGCGAGCCAGTGGGAAAATGGAAGATCTGACCACCTTCAGGGCTCATTTCATTCAGCATGAAGCTCAGCCTAGTTTCAGCTTCAAGCCCCAAAACGCACCGCTGCGGACCGACGCTCCCCTACAGAACGACACCATGTACCGCACAGAGTTCACGCCCAAGAAGATCAGCGTGTGTCCAGCCAGTTTTGAGTCTCCGCCGGGGTTTGTTTTCGATAATTACGATGATCGAGGCCACCGCTTCTTCCGCAAGATGATGTCTGCTGACAAGATTGAGACGCCGAAGGAAATGGTCTTGACAGCTTAAGAAAGTCATCATGTTGTTTCTATAAAAGGAAACTAGCATACAATATGATCTCTCTAAATTATTGTAATCCTACGGGGAATCGTAATGAATTACGGTTAAAGGTCAGTGGGTTGAACTATCTTTCATAAAACATTAATTATGCATAGTTTTAAATGTTAGCTAGTTTTAAATTTTCAATAGGATGAAACTGCAGTACAGTTGTAGGATATAAAATATGCAGTGAAAGTACTATAATATGTCATAAATCAGATTTTGGCAATACCAATTAATTAGTTCAATATCAAAATCACTTCTACACTACCATATAAAAGTTTGCGATAATTAAAAAAAAAGAAAGAAATTAAACGTTTTATTCAGCAAGAGCACATGCAATTATTCAAAAGTGACAACATAGACATTTATAATGTATAAGGACGTCTATTTCAAATAAATGCTGTTCTTTTGAAGAATCTTTTAAAAAATGTATCACGGTTACCACAAAAATATTAAGCAGCACAACTGTTTTCAACACGGATAATAATCAGAAATGTTTCTTGAGCAGCAAATCAGCATATTAGAATGAGTTCTGAAGGATCATGTGACACTGAAGACTGGAGTAATGATGCTGAAAATTCAGCTTTCATCACAGGAATAAAATAAATTTTTAAATGTATTCAAATAGAAAGTAGTTGTTTTAAATTGTAATAATATTTCACAATATTACTGTATTTTTTATCAAATAAATGTGGCCTTTTGAACAACAGTTAACAGTTAACCATATAAAACACGCTTTTTGCAATACACAATAATTGGTTGTTTTAACCACAATATAGAATACAAAGATCAATAATGTAGTGCAAAGAAAATAATATAAAGAGAAACAAGTGTATTTATGTGTGTAGGATGGAGGCTTTAGTCAGTGACAGAGTTTGTTGTATAGCTGTTGCCCTGGACTCCACAAACATGTTCAGTAAAAGTGCCGTGGAAACTTGAGAAAAATCTCTTGGTGAAAGACATATTAATGAGTTTATGTCTTCTCAAAAGTATAATTTTATTTTAAATGGCTCCTCTGTCGTAAATGCTTCTCCATTATCTTCAGCCGCCACCGTTGCACACACCAGCCCACGGCTCTTTACAAGAAAGGCAGTAAGACTAATGTGTTGTCAGAGTACTCAGAAAAGTATCCCGCCTATAAAGGGCACACGCGGCCCAAGAGTGTCAAGCCCCAACTGCAGTATAAAGCTCATCAGGACACGATGGAAGGAACAACCACCTTCAGGTACATTCTGGGAATTAATGGCTAATCTTTAGTCAAATAATTTACACAGTTTTATACATACATCTACTCACTAGGATTCGATAAGTGTTTTTTACATGCAAAGTGGCAGCACACTAGATGTTAGAACGGCTCCTCTATGTCTTTCTATAGGCTTCAGATCATCATATAATCTTTTTTGTTTTCTCATTTTCTCAGGACAGACTATGTCCCATATCCCGTATATGGTCACCCGTCGCCCTGAGAAGCTTCAGGCCGAATACAAGCCCAAGCCTGGAGAGATTGACTTAGGAACGACCTATAAACAAGACTTCAACCCATATGAAGTGCAACCATTTGTTCCTTCACGTCCGAAAGAGAGAGTATATACCACAAATGCAAAACTGGACACCGTACCCACCTATAAAGGTAATGAGAATCTAGGTCAGTTAGGTCATGTGATGCTTTCTGAGCATGCAGTTTCAGAATACACACACTGAACAACTGGAACAATTTTTATTAACAGCCTTATCTAAGTATCTGCTGTTACTTATATTAAATAAAGTATTTTTAAATTTAAATGAATTTATACTCAACAACTTATAAGGAACATCATAAACACTAGTGTTCAAAAGTTTGGGGCGAGTAAGATTTTATTTTTTTATTATTTTTTAAGAATCCCTAAGGATGCATTAAATTGATCAAAAGTGACAGTAAAAGAATCCTGAAAAAAAAAAAAAAAGATTTCCACAAAAATACCAGATAATAAGAAGAAATGTTTCTTGAGCAGCAAATCAGCATTAGAATGATTTCTGAAGGATCATGTGACACTGATGCTGAAAATTCAGCTTTGCCTCACAGGAATAAATTACATTTCAAATTCTATTCAAATGGAAAACAGTTATTTTAAACTGTAATAATATTTCACAATCTTACTGTATTTTGATCAAAACAAATGCAGCCTTGGTGAGCATAGAAGACCTATTTTAAAACATAAAAAAATCTTACCGACCCCAAACATACAGTAGTATATCATAAAAGCCAACAATATTTTCAGTACACGGTACAAAAGCTGAAATGCATAAAAAGAAGTTATTACAGTAAATGCCTTTGTTTGTTAGTAAAAGTTTTGTATGATGTTTTTAAAGAGGATTTTCGTCAGTGGGAGATCAGCAGACGGGAATTGACTAAGCCTGACACACCGTATCAACCCCCTGTTACAAAGTTTGGGAATTCCACAACATTCCAGGACGATTTCGTCCACCGAGGCCTAGTGCCACGTGAGAGCTACAAGCCCCCTAACATAGCCAAGCTATCCGATACTCCTTTTGAAAACATGACCAGCAACAAGCTCTCCTATGTTCCGCATGCTCTCGAAGCCCGGTACGTTAAACCGCCAATAGAATACAAACCCAACAGCCAACCTTTCCAGGACTTCACCACCCATCGACAAGACTATCAAGGCCTGCCAAGTCCGCTGACCAAAAGCTGCAAGCCTGAGCCGCTCAAAGTAGCCTCCAACAAGCCCTTCCAGGGCAGCACGGAATTCCGTGACCGTTTCCAGCAGTGGCCCGTATCCCTCCAGCAGGTGCAGAAGTCGGTGGAATATATGAGTCCAACAGAGCACATGGACCTGACTACCACCTCGCACACCGACTACATCAAGCACCAAATCCAACCCTTCATTTCCGCCAAACCCTTCTCACTTCCCACTAAGTCCTCCAGGCCCTTTCAGGGCAGCACCACCATGAGAGATGACTTCCAGCCGTGGGCGGCTCCCCGTCAAAGCATGATCCGGAAACAAGAGGAAATCCAGCGAGCCAGTGGGAAAATGGAAGATCTGACCACCTTCAGGGCTCATTTCATTCAGCATGAAGCTCAGCCTAGTTTCAGCTTCAAGCCCCAAAACGCACCGCTGCGGACCGACGCTCCCCTACAGAACGACACCATGTACCGCACAGAGTTCACGCCCAAGAAGATCAGCGTTTGTCCAGCCAGTTTTGAGTCTCCGCCGGGGTTTGTTTTCGATAATTACGACGATCGAGGCCACCGCTTCTTCCGCAAGATGACGTCTGCTGACAAGATTGAGACGCCGAAGGAAATGGTCTTGACAGCTTAAGAAAGTCATCATGTTGTTTCTATAAAAGGAAACTAGCATACAATATGATCTCTCTAAATTATTGTAATCCTACGGGGAATCGTAATGAATTACGGTTAAAGGTCAGTGGGTTGAACTATCTTTCATAAAACATTAATTATGCATAGTTTTAAATGTTAGCTAGTTTTAAATTTTCAATAGGATGAAACTGCAGTACAGTTGTAGGATATAAAATATGCAGTGAAAGTACTATAATATGTCATAAATCAGATTTTGGCAATACCAATTAATTAGTTCAATATCAAAATCACTTCTACACTACCATATAAAAGTTTGCGATAATTAAAAAAAAAGAAAGAAATTAAACGTTTTATTCAGCAAGAGCACATGCAATTATTCAAAAGTGACAACATAGACATTTATAATGTATAAGGATGTCTATTTCAAATAAATGCTGTTCTTTTGAAGAATCTTTTAAAAAATGTATCACGGTTACCACAAAAATATTAAGCAGCACAACTGTTTTCAACACGGATAATAATCAGAAATGTTTCTTGAGCAGCAAATCAGCATATTAGAATGAGTTCTGAAGGATCATGTGACACTGAAGACTGGAGTAATGATGCTGAAAATTCAGCTTTCATCACAGGAATAAAATAAATTTTTAAATGTATTCAAATAGAAAGTAGTTGTTTTAAATTGTAATAATATTTCACAATATTACTGTATTTTTTATCAAATAAATGTGGCCTTTTGAACAACAGTTAACAGTTAACCATATAAAACACGCTTTTTGCAATACACAATAATTGGTTGTTTTAACCACAATATAGAATACAAAGATCAATAATTCTAAACTGAGTGGTAAAACTGTATTTATTGTTTTTGTATCACATAGACTGTTTGCAATATTGACATGTACAGAACCAAAACCGGCACTTCCTTAACCGAGTCATGTAGCGGCACTTTCTCCACATACTGTAGCAATAAAATGCAATGGATTAAATTCATGGATAAATTCGGTGAGTGGCTTATGTATAACATTTGTTCATTACTTAAAATGCATGCATAAAGGCCAGTAGGAAACCATTATATTAGAGATATGGATAATTCACTTCAAGTGCTATAAGTACATAGGTCTGTGTTGGGCTTAATCTTAAATATGGATTATAAAGACAAACTAAACCAAGTAAGAAAATAAAATCCAAACTTTCTACACTCAATGTACAATATTGCACTTAAAAACACATTATATACAAGACATATTTTACAATGCAGCACATTGGTTGAACACAAAACATACATCTAAAAGACGGCTGGAGAAATGTGACTTTTATGGCACATACCATTTCAATCAGTCAACGGGTTTTCTGTCATACATTCTACGTCCATATTAAAACATCATTATTTAATATTAGAGTCAACATGAAAACAAAATGGACCCTTTTTACTTACTTAAAACATGCTACTGTGTTTGTCTTTGTAATGTTTATCAAAATATAATAACTTTAGCTCACTTCCACCAAAGACTAAAAAATAAAACGTTCATTGTGACTTTTTATCTCAGTTTATATCTCACAACTCAGAACTTTTTTGTGATATAAACTCAGAATTATGAGATATAAACTTCCAATTTGGAGAAGAAAACTCTTATTGTGAGTTTATAACTTGCTATTCTGAGAAGAGAAAAAAAGTCCAAATTGTGAGTTGTAATTACCTTTTTTTTTTTTTTTTAGACACGATATTCCAAATTCGGATTTTTTCTCACAATTGTGAGGTTATATTTCACAATTCAGACTTTTCTTCTTAGAATTACTAGTTTATACTTCGTAATTCTGACTTTTTCCTCAGAATTGCAAGAAAAATGTCAGATTTGTGAGATATATACTCAGATTTGATATTTGGAAAAAAAAAACTACTTTGTAAGATATAAACGAGTAAAAAAGTCAGAATTACTGTTTTTATTTTTCATTCCGTGGTGGAAATAAACTTCCATAAAACTTGCTTCCCTCTGAAACGATTTCCCTTTTCGGCTGGCATCACAAATCCTTCTGACTCCTCTAACTCCTCCCCTCTGACCACCTGACTCCATGTACGAGCCAATCAAATCCTTATAAATACAATAAGCCCCACCCCACATTTTTCTTGTTGAATGTCCTGTTTGCCTCTGAAGTAATCAGATTAGAGAAGTAAAATGGGTTGTGACAGCATTTCATGTTGACTTCAAGGTAGGACTCTGACAAAAAAATAAAAATACTCTTAATACTCCAAGCTGTGTACTACTGATATTATTAGTACCAGTGCATCATGTACACCCAAGAGGCCTTTATATTTCCTTCACGTTGGTGAATGGTCCGATAAGATTTGTCCTCTCATATTCACAAGTAAAAATCTTAAATTAATACACATATAATACCACTTTCAGGGCAAGATAAAATGAGATCTGCAGAGAAAGCTGGTGAAGAGAGAAGTTTCAAATCTCATCAAGTGATTTTCTCTTTGGACTTCTGATGATTGTGGGAAAGCATCCAGTAAAAGTGTAGTCCAGATATCTTTTAGTCCATACACTCCAGGTGTCCTTTTTGTTTGTACGATTGAACAATATGCTGTGTTACGAGAGACAATCAGGGCGGTGACTGAAAAGGGCGTCTGTTGGTTTGGGTCACTAGGTGGCGCTGGTGTCCTGTGAGCAGGTCTGGCAACAGCGTTGCCGGTACAGATCCACGGTGCAAAGCTTGAGGCGTTTGACCACAGGACAGTAGTGGGTTCTGTCCTTACACTCACCTACAGAAGCACAAATATAAAACAACGCTTATTCAAAATATAAGTTTGGAAATCATACTTTTCAAAAGCACAATCCACTCATTAATTGGCAAACAAATGCAAATTTCAACGTATTAAAATACAGACAAATAATCAGAAAATAGAAGTTATTTACACAAATGAGTTTGTAAACAACAACATTTAAATATGTTTTCGAAAGCAATGAACTGAATGAACTTGGAATGAATTATCTAGTTAAATAAAAAACGAATTTAAATATGAAGATAAATAATAATGAAAGTTCGGAGTCTTTTGTTGGTCTTTAATTATTATTATTATTATTATAACTATTATGCTTTATTATTCATTGTTATTAATATATTTTCATATAGGTTAAATATCTACTTATCTACTTTATACTCCACAGATCAAATAAAATAAATGAGTTTGTGAACAACAACATTTAAATGTTTTCGAAAACAATTAACTGAATTAACTATGAATGAATTAACTAGTTAAACAAAAACTCATTTAAATATGAAAAGATAACTAATAATGGCAGTCCTCAGTCTTTTGTTGGTCTTTAATAACAACAACAACAATAATAATAACAATAATAACCATTATTCATTATTAATAATTATTCTTAATATTAAAAAATAAAAGTATAAAATAATATAAACAATAAATTATACAATAAAATAAAATAAGCTGCTGATGTGAGTGCTAATACAGGAGGACCAAGCCTAGAACACTTTATGTTTTGTGTGTGTTTTGCTTGTTCATTTATGAGTTGTTAATTAATGTTCCCGCCTCCTCCGTCCCGTATCTAACGAATCTTGCTACATACAAACTACAGTAACATCTGATGTGAAACACCTGCCCCTGTTCCTCTTGCTTTGTCCACCTAGGATCTTGGATTGATTTTTTTTACAAAGATTATTGTGAAATTGTGGGACTTGCTCCAATGACATTAATACACAGAATCGTGGGAAACCAGAAATACTAACTCAATCACATTCATTTTGTCCTCTGCTACATTTCAAATTCAAGTTTGGTGAACTCTGACCTGCAAATTCACATAGCACAAAGACATTTGAGGATCTAAACGTCACAGACTGACCTCAAGTCAAAGAAAACTAAGCAGTGTTGCTGCTCACAGTAATTAATTTTTTCTCAAAAAGAGAATCCTTAGAGTGTGATATCACATCATGTTCGCTGCGGTGTGAAGCAACATTTCGTTTTCAAAGTCTAGCATAACCACGGCTTCACACTCTAAAAACAATATAAGTTCATTTATTGGTGTTGTTTCATTAAACATTTCTGCACAAGAAACAAGTTAGGTGACACAAAAATGATGTTTCATTAAGTTTCACCGCAGAAGAGTGAAGAACAAAAAGCAGACGTTTGGACAGACAGGATTCCTGAAATGACCGAGCTTAAAAAACGAAGAAAAACCTGCGAACGAGAGCGAGTTCTCTTGGGACGTTGTGATAACTTGGACTTCGCGAGTGATGGAACAAGCCAATATATTTGGCCCTCAGGTCGCTAATATTTTCCCTAATAAAACATGAACGCTCTAAAGGTGGCGAACAAGGGCAAACATTCTCCGAACCGTACTGCCGCTCTGCTTTATAACAAGGTGTTATTAGAGACTCACTGCCACAGGAAGTGATGTTGCAGTGTTGCCAGGTAGAAGGCCGCCGTTGCCAGGCGCAGTGCTGGTCGGGGAGGGTTTTCTTGTTCTGCTGATGGATGCATTCCACTCGACGGGACTGGAAGCCGCTGCCACATGCCGCTGTACACGTCCTCCACGGGAACACCTTCCAGTGCACATCACACATCTCAGACGAGCAGTTCCTCACGGATGATGGCCTGAAAGGTGTTGGAGAACCAGATCATGAGAAATAACACGTTAACAGAGCTGTGCATGTGAGAATAAGTGATGCTGAATATTGCATAACAAGTCTGGCACCTTTCTTTTGGGTCGCAGGTTTTGGACGTGGAGTTGCTGAAGTGTCTGCACGAGACGCTTCTGCTCTGCGTGGCCACCGCAGGCCCCAGACATCGACCTGTGCACTGTGAACACGCATTACCATCACAGTAAATATGATGAGGAGGGGAATGAACAAACGCAGCTGCTCTGATGCTAAACAGGCATAAGCTACGTAAAACTGATAATGCGTATCTGGCAAATAACATGAATGTTATATGATGGAAGTACATATTTTTAGATTCTGTAACTGGTCAGTATTTTTTACTAGTAATTTTATAACTTTAAATTACTTATTAGACTTTTTGCATGAATCATTAAATTATTATTAACTATTAAAATATTTGTAAAAAAAAATTCAATTAAATTTGATCAATTAAGTTATAAATGACAAATATTTCTAAATTTGAAATATTTCTTAGATTTCTAATTCAAACAAATACTGTTATTTTGAACTTTTCATATTAATGATTTCCACAAAATGATTAAGCTGCACCAGTTTTAAAGATTGATAATACTAAAAAAAAATTGTTGTTTGTTTGAGCAGCAAATTACCATATTAAAATGATTTCTGAAGGATCATGTGACATTGAAGAAAATGTAGCAACTATTAATATTAAATCTATCTATCTATCTATAAATATTTGATCAATTTATTTGATGAAAAGTATAGTAAAAACAGTAATATTGTGAAATATTACGGTTTAAAATAACTTTTCTGTTTTATATATAATGTATTTAAAGAGCAGGTCATATGGTATTTTAAAGTGTCCTAATATTGTGTTGGAGTCCCCTACAACAGGTTTAAATGCATCTAAGGTCAGAAAACATTGTAATGTTCTCAGAATATACATTTAATATTAGAGTAATTTGCCAATGATTTCAAAACGATTCATTCCAAGCAAGTTCGGAGCAAACCCCTCCCTTCCATAAGCCTACTCTGCTCTGATTGGTCAGCTGGCCAAGCCTGCTGTGATTGGCACAGAGAGGAGTCCTTGAGCAAGTTAGCGAGCGCTATGATTGACAAAGCACCTTTAAATAAAACAATAATATAGTGCTCCAATCCGTTCTTATAATAATGACATAAAATACAAAAACACTTATGCAAGCGAATCGTGCCCACAGCTAAAGTTTAGCGCGGGTGATTATGCAAATGTGTTACCCAGTGACGTATACCAGTAACAGTCAAAAGATTCGAAAATATGACGACTCGTTAAAGCGATTCAGAATCGACTCTCTCTTTTGAGAGACAATATCTTTATTTATCATGCACTTTTTTGATTAACAACTTTATATATATATATATATATATGTGTGTGTGTGTGTGTGTGTGTGTGTGTAATATTTCACAATATTACTGTTTTTACTATATTTTTAATCAAATACATGCAGCCAAGGTGAGCAGAAGAGACTTTAAACATTAAAAAAATCTTACCAATCTCATAGTTTTGCATGGTCTTGTTAAGGTTTAACAGTAAATCCACAGAATAAAAAATAATTATAATTGGTGACCAGTATGGGTTTTCAGTGGTTACCATCAATATCAATATCTAGAATATCTGCTATATTGGCTACCGGGCAAAGCTATTGATTTAAAAAATAGCCAGATATCAAACGAATATCACAAATTATATACATTATTTTATATCACTGCTACACATTAAACAGGTTAAAATGAATGTAAATGTGGCAGTAAACGTACCTTGCCCCAGGAGCCGGTGAGCCACTCCACACACGCGTGTGAGCTGCACTCTTCCCTGTCTTCAGGCCGACGAGATCCTTCACACGCTGAGCTGGACAAAACCCTCACACTCCCCGAGGCCTCAACCTGCTGACAGGAGACCCGCCTCTCTCTGAAGCCCCGCCCACAGGAACTGGAGCATCTGGACCACACTGTTGACACCCAACTGACAGATACAGCAAAAACAGTCAGGAGAGCTTCAAAATGACTTAAAAAGCTCATGGGAGTACTTTTTAAATGATTTAATGAAATACGAAATACTGCACAATCAGCCAGAAATTTTCATTATGTATGAACTATGCCTAGATGACCTATATTTTTAAAAAATGTGCAGTATGCTACAAAGCACACTGTATGAGTTTATACCACGATGCAATGCACTCAACTTGACCTTCCAGTTCCAGTGTGATTGATGAGCCAGAAGTCACGATTTCACATCTGTTTCTTAATCAGACTGCCAAAAAATATAGATCATAACTGTAGGCTATTCACTGAATAAATATGCAACATAATGAGGCCATGTGATAATATAGCATACTCCTGTTTGATGTTATCTTTGTAGTATACAGTAGAAAAGACACAGTATTCAGTAAGTAGTAAGATCAAAAGTTTCGGGTTGGTAAGATTTTTTTGTTTGTCTTAAGTTGCACGGGGATATTTGTAGCAATAGCCAACAATACATTGTATGGATCAAAATTATCGATTTTCCTTTTATGCCAAAAATCATTAGAATATTAAGTAAAGATCATGTTCCATGAAGATATTTTGTAAATTTCCTACTGTAAATATATCAAAACGTAATTTTTGATTAGTAATATGCATTGCTAAGAACTTCATTTGGACAACTTTAAATGCGATTTTCTCAATATTTTGATTTTTTAGCACCCTCAGATTCCAGATTTTCAAATAGTTGTATCTCGGCCAAATCCTATCCTAACAAACCATACATCAATGGAATGCTTATTTATTCAACTTCCAGATGATGTATGAATCTCAAATTTTTTTTTTTTATTGACCCATATGACTGGTTTTGTGGTCCAGGGTCACATATATGCTCACCAAGGCTGCATTTATTTGATAAAAATACTGTAAAATAGTCAAAGCTGAATTTTCAGCATCATTACTCCAGTCTTCAGTGTCACATGATCCTTCAGGAATCATTCTAATATGCTGATTGGATGATCAAGAAACATTTTTTAAATTATTATCAATGTTGAAAACATTGACAACAGAAACTGTGATGCTTTGTTTTCCTCAGGATTCTTTGATGAACTGCATCAAAGAATCCTAATGAAGTTTAAAAACAGCATTTAATAAAAAAAACCTAGATTTGACACACACGCACACATATATATATATATATATATATATATATATATATAGTAACAATGTAAGTGTTTTTTGTCACTTTTGACTATTTTAATGCATCAAAAAGCATGTATTTCATGAGTTTTCATGAAAGCATGAATTTCGACCAGCTTCCATCTCAAAAAATACAAATTTATTTTGCCTTTTGAGATTACATTTTATGTATAAATGCTTTAAATTTATGGAGTACAGCCAAATAGTGAGTTAAAAAAGAGATGAAAATGCTGGTTTACTTTAAGCTCATTAATCACCACTGATATATACAGAAAGAACATATTTCAAAGTTTGAAACTGGTTAAAAAAAAAGATTATTACAATTGCAATGCACTGTTTTTTTCCATTACAATTCCATTTAATGCTGCAAAAATTACACACTTTAGCTGTAAAAACATTATGGATGCGGGGAAACAATTAAGTTATGTAATTTGAATTATTACAGTACATGATTTATCTTCACACCTGTAGCATCCTATCATAAATTTGACATTTATCTAGCTGCATATTACCAATTTTCTTTGCACTCACACAGTAAAACGCACCCTAACAAACCTCAACCTTCTAGCTAACTCTGGATACGTGCCATTCCAAACCGACAAGAATATATATCTCCATACATTTCAACAGTGGATATATGTACGGCTGGATATATTTGGTTTTTGAAAAAGCACAGCTTGTACCCGAGTCACTGGGGAGCTGGGAGCCTCTGTGGGGCATTTGGGGTTGTGTTAGAGCGCAAGAAGCAGTAACAAAGACACGCTTTGTGAGAGGATCTCCCGCTGACGGCTCTGAACTGACGCTAAGCGCTTTCACAGAGCCATATGATTCATGCGCTGAGTCCAGACGCATGGCAATAATCAGATGATGTTTTTGGCATGGACGCACAGAAGTCGGAGAGCGGTCGTGTGCACTATCTGTGTTCTCCGAGAAAACCTGAAACCCTCAATCAATCAGCGCACCATATGAAATGTGGACTATGCTAATGATTCAAGCTGCAAAAAAAACTCCTGCTTACTTTCATATGAAAGAGTGGAAGTACAGTACGTGCTAATATAATTCAGTTCACTAAATTGCTCTTTTAAAGTCCAAATTTAGCTTTTTTAAATTTTTATTTAAATGTGTCCTGGTCTTATCGTGCTTTTTAATTAAAAATGCAAATAAATTATCAATATTAACTTGCAGTTTGCTGATGCAACCAAGACGAAATGGGGAGAAATAAAAATAGTAACCAACACGATCACATTACAGAGTGCAAATTACATTTCACACTGTCGTTATAAAAAGCATGGTGAAATATTGAAATGAATTGAGGCTTGGGGAAAAATGCTACCAAAATGAAGAAAATTCAAAAAATACTCCTGTACAAATAAACTAACTCTATTATGGCTCTTGTGATTAAAGTGAACAGAGCCATATGATTCATGCGCTGAGTCCAGACGCATGGCAATAATCAGATGATGTTTTTGGCATGGACGCACAGAAGTCGGAGAGCGGTCGTGTGCACTATCTGTGTTCTCCGAGAAAACCTGAAACCCTCAATCAATCAGCGCACCATATGAAATGTGGACTATGCTAATGATTCAAGCTGCAAAAAAAACTCCTGCTTACTTTTATATGAAAGAGTGGAAGTACAGTACGTGCTAATATAATTCAGTTCACTAAATTGCTCTTTTAAAGTCCAAATTTAGCTTTTTTAAATTTTTATTTAAATGTGTCCTGGTCTTAACGTGCTTTTTAATTAAAAATGCAAATAAATTATCAATATTAACTTGCAGTTTGCTGATGCAACCAAGACGAAATGGGGAGAAATAAAAATAGTAACCAACACGATCACATTACAGAGTGCAAATTACATTTCACACTGTCGTTATAAAAAGCATGGTGAAATATTGAAATGAATTGAGGCTTGGGGAAAAATGCTACCAAAATGAAGAAAATTCAAAAAATACTCCTGTACAAATAAACTAACTCTATTATGGCTCTTGTGATTAAAGTGAAATGTGAAATGTGAGAAAGGTGTCTATTGTGGCATTGCTTTTAAATGTGCTCATGTTGCATCAGCATTCTAATCCATCACACACGTTTCTCTTGAGTTTATGAATGCAATGGCCAATCAGAAGTGATTAGATTAGTCACCACTGAAAGTGAAGTCTGCACTCTTTTGCCAATTCTATCATCATTAAACAACAAACTGCATATTATGAATGAGATTCATTTTGCAGTGAAGACACTTATATTGAAAATTTTTATGGGAGTTTTTGCAAAAATGCATAATTCGTGATAGACTCAAGTCAGTGACCGCTTTAGTGATGGGGAACATTCCAGTTTGAAGAAACATTTTGTTTTTCATGCTAGTAAAATAACAATGTGAAGTCTTGATTTTCTATTGTGTAAAAAGCAATAAACTAATTCATAAATGGTTCTTATCTTGCTTTGTCTGTGTGGCCTAAAAAAATATGGCGTGCCATTTCCCCAAACACAAAAACATTTCTTTAATTATATTAATCGACATTATTAAAAATTCAAGAGCAATAATCTACACTGACTTCTACGACGGCGTTTTAGTGCCACGTTAAAAAAATAAAAAAGATCTAAGATTACGAGATTAAAGTCGTAATATTTCGAGAATAAAGTCGAAATTACGAGAATAAAATCGAAATACTACGAGAATAAAGTCGAAATGTTTTGAGAATAAAGATTAAAGTTATAATATTTTGAGAGTATATTCTAGCCTTTTGCACATGCAAATGGCCCGCATTGGGAGCACCGGGAGATATTCCAAAGTCTCAGCTTTCAAAATCTGTCGGTTTTATAGCGAAATACAAACAATATTACAATAATGTGTTTTTTTCACGCTCTTTAATGTGGCGTGACAGATCGCTGTATTCGCTTCAGTTTAAGTGGCACGTGAGTCTTTCCGATTACAATAATGAGACATTATTTTAATTATAAATTAAGCTATACTATACTGTTTTTTCATGCCTTCTGATATTCTTTCACTTTTATATCTTGCTATAAACTTGAAATAAAGAGGAAAAACACATTTATCATTTGTATTTCGTGATAAAACTGACAGAATTAGAAAGCCGAGCTGTGTTATATTAAAAGCAACAAAGCACAAAATTATTGCGATTACTGGGTGGCTGGCGTGCTACAAATAATGAATGGAAGACGTTAAATATTATGTCCAATTATTTACTGTATTATACCATGAATAAAACAGCTTGTGAATAGTCACTTACATGTTATAGCCTACAGGCTACCTCAGAAAAGAAAACAATATAACTTATGTTAACGTTAGAACGTTTTATTAATTAAATAGGCTACATGTGAGGAATAAAAGTTTGGACGCCACATACATTTTTGCTGAGTAGGTGGTGGAATTTTCACAAATTTTGAATTTTGGAATTTTCACAAAGAAAACAGTATAATTTAATGAATTGGTTCACATAAATACAGCGATCTGATCATTAAAGAGCTTGAAAACACATTATTGTAACGTAAGACACATAATTTGTGTTTCGCTATAAAACTGATTTTGAAAACTGAGACTTATATTAAAAGTAGGCCTACCAAAACCACAAAGCTTATTGCTATTGGGTGGCTGGCGCACTACAAATAACAAATGCAATGGAAGACATGAAATATTATTTCCAAGCATACTGTCCCCGCGAGTATGACACATGGTATGATTTCTGCTAATAATCCCACATATATTTGTAGTGTATTAAAAAAGGGTTAAATAAGAGAGCTACAGCGCCCCCCAAAGGAATGTCGATTGGGTGTGTGAGCTGATGTTAAGATAAAAAGTTGTTCCTGTTCAGTCTGTTAATAAATATCATATTCTTGATATTAAGCTGTTTCCGCGAATCCTTAAAATTGACCCTTCCTCATCCCAGTAAGATGATGCGGCTGCTCAGACGCAATAATATTAAAATCAATTCCGGTAGCTTGGCAACTTCTCAATCCGGGCCATTTGCATGCGCATTAAAGGCTATACTCTCAAAATATTATAACTTTAATTTCTACGATTTAAATTCTCGAAACATTTCGACTTTATTCTCAAAACATTCCGACTTTATTCTCGTAATATTTCGACTTTATTCTCAAAATATTTCGAATTTATTCTTGTAGTAGGCTATTTCGACTTTATTCTCAAAGCATTTCGACTTTATTCTCGTAATATTTCGACTTTATTCTCAAAATATTTCGAATTTATTCTTGTAGTAGGCTATTTCGACTTTATTCTCGAAGCATTTCGACTTTATTCTCGTAATATTTCGACTTTATTCTCGAAACATTTCGACTTTATTCTCGAAACATTTCGACTTTATTCTCGAAACATTTCGACTTTATTCTCGAAACATTTCGACTTTATTCTCGAAACATTTCGACTTTATTCTCGAAACATTTCGACTTTATTCTCGTTATTTCGACTTTATTCTCGTTATTTCGACTTTATTCTCGTTATTTCGACTTTATTCTCGTTATTTCGACTTTATTCTCGTAATTTCGACTTCATTCTCGTAATTTCGAATTCATTCTCGTAATTTCGACTTCATTCTCGAAATATTACGACTTTAATCTCGTAATCTTAGATTTCTTTTTTTTTAACGTGGCACTAAAACGCCGTCGTAGACTTCTGTCATAATATTGCAGTACCATTTAAAAAAAAAAAAGAAAGAAAAGCTGGTAATGTTCTGCCAGGACATTATCCAGTAATTTTACAGACTTTCCATTCAACTTAAAACACAGCGCAATGAAGTGCAACATTCAAAATACATGTAAAATACCTGTGAAAAAAAATTAATAAATTAATATTGAAAATTTCTTCATATTACACTGAACAAAATTATAAACGCAACACTTTTGTTTTTGCCCCCATTTTTCATGAGGTACTTTGCACCCTTTTTTATCTGTTTTTAACAGTTTATAATTTATATATTAATTTATATAACTTAAAATGCATGCATGTAAATGCATGCATGCCACCTTTGAGCAGCATTAAACAGTCTATAAGTGTAAATAAACATGTAAACGTCAGATGCAGCTTCTGTTCCATCTTTGCAGTGTAAAGAAGGCATTTGTTGATGTTGACAAAATCCCTTTGGTTACAGTCTGTGTAGTATTATGATTGATTGAAATAATTGGTTATGGTTACATCTAAGTATTTAACATTAAAGTCACCACAGACACATTTAATAAAGGTAAATATTACAATTATCCTTAAAAAAAAAGTCCTGAAAATCAAGTGGGTAAATATTGCCCCTTAATCAAAAAAGTTCATTTCTGATTCTGGTGATAAAGATAATTTTCACAATACTTTTTATTCTAAATGTTCTGATTTCTCTGCATCGAAATGGTAAAAAACCCACAGGGGTTTCTCCGGCCAGACCTCAAAAAAAGAAGCTCTTTTACACTGACAGCTGATATCTGCTCTTCTCCGGCCCCATTGGACTCATACAGTTTGATTCATGTGCTTGGTTGAGCGTCTGCATGGCCCCTGAAAAGACTGATGCTGGGAAGGGAATGACAGATGGGCTGTTTGACTGGGAATCAGAGGACCGGGGTGCTGCTCGCAGTCAAATGCATCATGGCTCGCAGACTTGTGAAGGGTTCTGCTCTCTTTAGATTAAAGTCTATAGAGAGATCCATCAGCAGACGCTCGTTTATCAAAGACGGAGCGGCTGTCACTGTGTCTGACTTCAGAATCGCTAACGGTCAGAGAACGGGGCTAATTATACAGTAGGTTTGATAGCACAACATGACAGTTTTTATGGATTTGTTCACATTGCACCCAATCCAGATTGGTTTTTCCTCTGCTAACATGCTGACTATGTCATCTTGACAAATGCTGCATATTATTAAAGGAATAGTTCACCTCAAAATGAAAATTTGCTGAAAATGTATTCACTCTCAGGCCATCTAAGACAAGTTTGTTTCTTCATCAGAACAGATTTGGAGAAATTATCATTACATTAGCATCGCTTCCTCAATGGATCCTCTGCAGCGAATGGGTGCCGTCAGAATGAGAATCCAAACAGCTGATAAAAACATCACAATAATCCATAACACGACTCCAGTCTATCCTGTCTTGTGAAGTGAAAAGCTGCTTGTTTGTAAGAATCTATCAGATTAGAGTCCTTTATTCATAATATTGCTTTCTCCAGTGAAAAAGTCATCTTGTCTGAATCAGGAGAGAAATATGCACAGATCAAACAGAAGTGAAAACAGTCCAAACCGTTCTAAACAAATATGTTGGAGGATTATGATGTTAGAGGACAACAGGGGATGGACTTTTTCACTGGATGAAGCGTTATTATGTATTATGGACTCAATATTTTGTCCAGAAGTGATGGTTCAATGTTAAAAGCGTTATTATGCATTATGGACTCAATATTTTGTCCAGAAGTGATGGTTCAATGTTAAAAGGCCTTAATGATGAATCTGTACAAACACACAGCTTTTTGCTTAAGAAGATGTTAACTGATGGACTGGAGTGGTGTGGATTACTTGTGGATTATCGTGATGTTTTTATCAGCTGTTTGGACTCTCATTCTGACGGCACCCATTCACTGCAGGGTATTGTGCCCAATTCTTACCCCCCCCACCATATTATTACCCGCTAAGAATTGGTAGGTTTAGGAGTAGGTGTGGGAGAGGGGTTAGGATTAAGGTTGGGGTTAGGATTAGGCAATCAGGTAGCGACTTGGACGACAGGGATAATCATTTGGCAGGAGGTCGAAATTTGGCACAACACCGGCCTTGGGACTACTTGTGGAGTATTGTGATGTTTTTATCAGATGTTTGGCCATTCACTGCAGAGGATCCATTGCTGAGCAAGTGATGTATTGCTACATTTCTCCAAATCTGTTCTGATGAAGAAACAAACTCATCTATACCTTGGATGGCATGGGGGTGAGTACATTTTTGGGTGAGCTATTTCTATAAGTATTTGTATTATTTGCTTAGAGAAGTGTACCTGGGAGCACAGTCCAGAAGGTTGCACGGCCGTGGTTGACTGATCGGTTTGGGAAGATGATGACAGACTGAATGAGGCATCTCTTGGCCCTCTGACGTCAAACATTGTACCTTCCTCATCTGAGTCCCTCTGTTGCCACAGGAAGTGCTGCATGTGCTCCACTCGCCCAAACGCCACTCAAACTCTACACCCCGCAAAAGACACAAAGAGAAATACACACACAGTTAGAGATGATATTAAAATTCTTGGTGATACAAATTTTTTTTTGCTCTGTAGTCTTTGTATCATTTAAAACTGACTTTTAAAATGATTTTAGATTATTTTTACTGTTCTATTTTTCATTTATTTAGTCATTGTATATATTGTGTTGTATATAAATAGTACAGAATACTATAGAATTTGAATATAGACCACCTACTGATCATTGATAATAAAATTCTAGACTATTTAAACTGATCAAAAGTGAAAGACATTTACACATTTTCAAAATATTTCTATTTTAAAATAAATACTATTCTTTTGGAATTCTATTTGGAATCAAAGAATCCTAAAAAAAAAAAAAAAGCATCTCTGTTTCCACCAAAATATGAAGCAGCACAACTGTTTTCAACATTTATAACAATAATATATGTTTCCTGTTCAGCAAATCAGCATATTAGAATGATTTCTGAAGGATCATGTGACACTGAAGACTGGAGTAATGATGCTGGAAATTCAGTTTTGCTGTCACAGGAATAAATTACATTTTAAAATATATTAAAACAGAAATCAGTATACGATATGGTGCCAATATATATCCAGACATAAAGCCTGTGAATTTCAATTATAAAGGACAAAACAGGTAAGGCATGAATCAATACCAGGGAAGCACTATTAGAGAAGCACCACTATTACTCAAGTGCTGCCAAATTGCCTGATTCAAAGAGAGAGGTTATAGGGACCATTTACAAGCCCTTAAAGGTTTCTAGGAATCTGGGCTTGAATATCTACACAATCGTCTCTGGCTTTTAAAATTCCTGGCATTGTGCGGGAACTGAAAGGAAGACATACAGTTTTAACAATACACAAATGAGCTCCGAGCGCTAGGTTTTCTACAAGACAGAACTGAAGTCCAATTCATGTCCAAACCTTCAACATAACACAGTCGAGTTTTACTTTCCTGTCTATTCTGGGTGTTGAGTTTCATCAGAAGACTACGGCTATTCATCATTCACACACTTTTTTTATTAGCACTTTTTGCTGACTTTATGTATTGCACTTCTTTGTATTGCACTACTTTATGCACTTCTTATGTATTGTCACATCACACATATAACAAAGATACATAAATAAAAATTATAAATATATATTAATCTAAAATATCTAATAAAAATATACAAGGTAAAACAACAACAAAAAACATGTACAAAAAATACACATTCTTTGAAAACTTGTCTTAAAATCTTATGCAGTGTTGCATCCTGAGTGCTTTTAACAAAAACCATACAAGCATTTCAGTTACTTGAAATAAAATAAAGATGAACTGAAATAAAATAATATAAACTTATTTTTATTTCACCATGTTCTCAAAGCAACATTTCTCATTTTCATTTAGTTTTACAATGTACTAAAATAACACATACTAAAACTTTTTAAAAAACAATAAATAATACAAATGACACTACGGAAAACATTGCATTATGAATAAATAATCTTAATAATAAGAGTAATAATAATTACTACTACTACTAATAATAATAATACATTATAATAAAATGTACATTTACTGATTTTTCATTTATTCAAAGTGATTTATAAATGAGAAAAGTATTTGTTATAAACAATATTACTTTCTTGATGTGTGAAAATACTTAGTATACAGTCCCATGAAACTACAAGACACAAGCCTTAACACGCACCAAAAAATGGCAAATTATGTAGGTAAGACTAATAATATGGTGTTTAAATTTCAAAACAAGCTCATACACTCCTAAAAATAAAGGTTCTTTGTTGGCATTGACCATTCCATGAAGAACCTTTAACAACAATGGAATCTTTCCATTCCACAAAAGGTTCTTTAGATTATAAAATGTTCTTCACACTAAGAAAAAAAGTTTTTTGGGGATCCCAAAATAATTCTTCTACCGTATAGCTGCAAATGCCCCCTTTTGGAATCTTTATTTTTAAGAGTGTATCATTTAAACAACATGAAAGTGCCGTACCTATCCTCAAGGTATCTCCAGGTTTGACTGTGACGCTGGTGCCGATCACAGAGGCCATCAGAACCCTCTTCCTATTCATCTCCTTTGAAACCTGGTGCTCAGATTCACCCACAGCTCCTCCTGGCATCAAGACAGCACTGTGTCATCAAACATCTCACCATCAAACGCAATCAACCAAAGCATTCCTACAGGTAAAGATTATTCCTTTGATGGCTGAACAACCTCAAGTGGCTGAATTATTACTCCTAGTTAGAGCTTTTTCCCAATCAGCAGAGAGATTACAGCCCGTTTCGACCGTGATGGAGACAGAAATGACCTCAATGAAATACGGTGGGAAGTTGTGTCATCTGAGGCCAAACAAGGCCTCGGCTGCCTTCTGTTTGTGGCCTATAAGATCTCCAGAGACAAGCGGCCTCTACAAAGAAGGGAATATTTCTTCATTCCGCTGCACAAATGGATTTTACCACCCCTACAGTCTGTAGGTCTCACGTTATTTCTCAACAAGACGCGCCAAACGATGCCAATAGCAATAAGCCACTCGCAAATCTCCCGCCGAGTTCGCTGACTTTGTGGGAAACCGAGCCAACCCACAGAGTGCGGTTCACTTAGCACCGAAATGCTGTCGTGTGAGGATTTCCCTGTCACCCGGAGAAGTGTGGACTGACATACGGCTGCTGTGCGAATCGCTACTCACCCGCCACACGCAGCAGGCTGGAGGCCACCGACTTTCCAATGCTGTTGGCAGCCACGCAGGAGTAGGTGCCGTAGTCTGGCGGTGTGAGGTTTCTCAGGAGCAGAGATCCGTCCGGGAGAGGACTAGCGCTGGTGCCCAGCGGACCCTCCTTGCGGTGCCAGCTCAGCGTTGGCCGCGGGACACCTGCTCAGAGACAAACGTCAGGTCACTCCCAATCAATCAGTTCACACTGGAGTCTGGAGCTGATGCTAATCACCGCTTTCTATGAGTAGGGTACACTTTAGGTGTCCCATTACTTTTTAAAGGTGTTTGAGGGACTAATTGTATGTTGTCAGAAAAGTATTATTTAAAATAAAATTAGCATTGCAGAAAAAGATGGTATTTTTAAACACATCAAATCAAGCCCTTAAAATGGTGATTTTGGTCTTTTCCACCTCATGTCCTTGTAGACTGTATAAAATAGAATAACAAATAAAATAGTTCAACATCATCATTTTGAATAAATTATAATTTTGACATTTTTGAAAAAACAAGACAAAAACAACAACAAATTCACTTGTTACATTCAAAAATGTTTTTACATTCAAAAATTTTATTTTAGCTGTGTCCCACATTTGCAGGCAAACCTGTGTTCGCATGACTTTGTGACATTATTAAAAATATTTAAAAAATAAAATAAAAAAAAACATTCTTTAAAATTCAGAAAGCTGAATTTTTTTAATCCAGTTTCTCAATTTCTACACAAATTGTACTGTTGACTGCATTTGTCAAACTCAACAATGTTGTGAAACTTAAATATGTGTTTAATGTTTGATTTTTTTGAAAAGAATCTCACAAACTGAGAAGTGCCAATATTAGTTTCCAGGGTTGCATTGCAACAAAACAAAACAAAAAACAAAACAAAAATAAGTTTGACCTTTTCCACTGAGTTTCACATTCAATATTTTCTGACCATGTGAAATATATATTTAGAGTTTCAGACCTTATTTTGCACCCCATTCAAGAAAAGCTGGTCTGGGCGCAGCTTTCCCTAAAACAAACCTAAGCTCTTGACAAATCACTGAACAAGTTCCAGTATTTAGGGGCAACTGCCATCGTGCCCTTAAAAGACTCATATGTCAACATCAAAGCCCGCGCCGAATAAATCAAACCGCAGAAAATGTTGATTCAAAGAGCAGATCAGCAAGAGGCCAGCAGATTGCCACGAATTACTTGTACAAATGGGCACAATGAATGCAAATTGCCTCCCTCCAACCAGTTCCCATGGGACGCCCCCGCTGAAAATAATGAGCAGCACATGGATTGGAGTCTGAGTTTTATGGTCCCCCGTTCTGCCGAATGGAGACATTAGTACTGACATACAGCAGTTAGTCTGAGAGCCAATGAATAGACACACTCTTAGCAATGGAAAATCACATCGGAGGCCTTGAGGTGTGTGTGTGTGTGTGTGTGTGTGCATCAAGCGCACACGTGGGCATTGACACACTCTGGCACCAGTAAACAGTCAGGCATGCCTGCAAAGATGGCAGGAAGGGATGTTGTTAAGATGTAGGTAGGATTAATAGTGGCCGCCGCAGTGACCTCTGCTCTCCTGGAGAGGGAATTTCCACTGGGAGGAGAAACGCACACAGGAACAATAACTGCATGATGATGAAGAAAAAAATGGAACATTAAAAGAAGATATATTACATACAAAATGTTTATCTCTACGTGCTGACCGCCTACTGACTGTAGACTCGTACAAACACACGCTCCGTTCCAATACACATTAGAAGTGCTCCGAGCCGGACTCATTTCAAAACTACTTCTTTCTTTGGCTTTTGACCAGTCAGAGAGATCGAAAGGTAGTACTTTGATGCCAGTGATCTTTATTATTATTGTTGCTATTTTCACTAGTCCTATTCTTATTAATTTTCTCATTATTGTTATTATTTTTTGCATTAGGTTTTGCATTAACTGATGTAAAGCACATTGGTCAACTTATGTTTAACACTACACTGTTAGCATTTTAACTATATTAAATCAAATAAAATGATAAAAATACAATAAATTGAAAAAAAAAAAATCTTATAGTATAGAAAACAATAGAATCAGAAAAAAATGCTTTATTTTCTTTCTTCTGTTCCAATATCGGGCTATGCTGTTATATGCTATATAACAATATAAACAATACAACAATTTATAAATATAAAATGAACAGAAAAATAAAATAGTGCAAATAATATTTAGTTTGACCTTCTGATCTGATCACAATCAATATTTTCTCACAATTTGTTGAATTTAAAATATATATATATATAGATATATATATATCTTTTTATTTAATATTTATTACTAGATAAAATTACACTTTGTATGTTCCTTTTCCCCCTTCTGTTCCAATTCCTTAGCTTTGAAGTTATCATTTTAACTACATAGTCAGGCTGTAGATAAATAAAAGACAGCAGACAAATAAAACTATAAATGTAAAAATGGAATTATATTTGAAATGATTTCAATACTGAAGAGTATTAATAAAATTGTTCAGATTTACTTAAAGGAAGAGGAATGTATTTCTAGCAGCATGCAAATGTTAAAATCTACTAAAATAAATTCCCTCCTGTGTGCTTTGCACTTCTTATATGATGCACAGAGTAGCTGCCTGTGTAGAGTGTTCCAAAATCACGTCCAAAGTCCCGTTTGAGGTTACATGGAAGCTATGTAGGCAGCTCACTAGATTTTAGAACGGATCTACTGTTAATGACCTGCGTGATAAGCAGACTGAATTCTGCTCTGTAATAACGTGACCTGGATCAGACATTCGCTGTATCCGGGTGTGTGTGTCCTCTAACAACACATCTCTCCACACCATCAGCTTAACCACTCAATTACAGTATCTTCTTACATCATTACCCATACTGCACTGCTCCGTGCCTGCCTATGCCTTCAAATCCTGTTTATTCATCTCAGGGAATCAGATGGTGATGAAAGCATGGGAGAACAGCTGACACTTGTGGCTTTCTGGCCTTTTGTGAGGCCAGTGTTCACAGCAGGTGTCCTCTGCATCAACCAAATCACTAGATAAACAAGTCTACATAAACTGCGACGGTGAGTGAAGACAGACACAACGACCTCAGAGACCTTTGTTTATATAAACATGCAAATATAAAGGAGGTGAAAGGGAGAACAGTGTCCAGTTTGGGAAGTTTGAGGGGCACGAAAGACCCAAAAATTGATCTCATTGAACAATGAGGCTATTAAACACTATAATTACATCTGAATTATATGCATTCAATTCCACTGCGTAGGTAGAAATCTATAGACAGCTCTATAAAAAGTATATTTTAGTACAATAGAGCGACAGGAGCCCTGTTTTGCTACAGTAGATTGGCGTTTGTAAATGACGCAGCGCGGCATAAATCCCATCGAAGGGCCCCACATCCTGAATGCCTGTTGACTTTACAAAGCATATTAAATTAAGTACATTAAAATATCATACATTAATTTTAAAACAATATATTAATATATGTATCTAATTTAATTATAATGTTTGTATTATATTTCATTACATAATATAATATAATATAATATAATATAATATTTTTAATAGCACTACAAATTTGCTTATAGATCACATTATGTTAGACTAAGCACTGGTGTTTATTATTTATTTATTAATTATGCTTTAAATTTTTTTTTTTTGATATAATGATTGGCGTTTGTAAATGACGCAGCGCGGCATAAATCCCATCGAAGGGCCCCACATCCTGAATGCCTGTTGACTTTACAAACCATTTCTGTCCAATTAGCCGAATCTTTCACCAAAGCCACATGGACAAGAGCTATTAAGCATGGGATATGCACACATCAAACATGTTCAGTTTTTCACAGAGTGAAGTATCTCGATAATTTGAAGAATCTACATTGAGGCCGCACTGGAGATTGCGGAAACTGGTAATGACGAAAAGAGGTTTGCTCACGAAAATACACATTAGTGCAATTAAAGCCATAGAATGTGTGTGTGTCAGATTGATTTTTAGCATTTTTGTTGCCAAATCTCACTAATTAGCTTTTATTTTATAAGTTATACAATGTGAAACACTGCATGTTTCACATTGTATTGTATTGTGTATTTATGTTTTATGGGTGAATCTCAAAATAGAAATGTAAGGTCATATTTCACCCTAAAATTAAAAATTCATACATGTCCTATTTTTGTATTATATTTGTATAATATAATATAATATAATATAATATAATATAATATAATATTTCTTATTTTTCTTTCGATTGTGACATTTCATAATTCTGGAGATTCACCTGTAAATCGTCCCATACCTTTAATGGGGCACTCGAGGGTGAGGTTGGCACCCAAACGGACACTGATAACCCCTCCAACCACCACCTTCAGACTGCTGCTCTTCACATCTGACGTGTTTCTCCGCGAGGCAGCGATCGTGGGAGTTTCTGTTTATAAAGAAATAAAAACCATCCGCTCACATTACATACAAAACAGTCATTACAGAGAGCAACCATGTGTAATGTCTCACCAGCCAGCAGAACTAGTGTTGTCTCTGAATCAGAGCCCAAGTCATTGGTGGCGGTGCATCTGTAGATTCCCACATCACTGGCGCCGGGGCTGAGGATGTGTACTTCTCCCTCGCTGTCCCACGATACCCTGGGGAGGGCAAGAGAGACATGTCCAATCAGCTGTAGAGTTCAGAGAACACCATTTTATTGCGTTTGCCATACTCACGGATGTAGCATTAAAGACCCCATGTGATGAAAACCAAGCTTTTAACATTGTCTGTCTGGGGTTTTCAATGTGCTTAAAGACAAACCATGTGCAAATTCATCAGTCAACATCACTGCTGAGGATTTTCTGCTTAAAACAGCAGTGTAATAAAAACTAAAAAATGCGGTTTGAAACAGACCCCGTTTCCTGTCGTCACAAACACGTAACCAATCCCATGAACTTGCAGTTTGGGGCTTTTCATATCATTAGCAAAGCGTTTTTACCTAAAGATGTTGAGTTTTAAAAGCTATCTGTCTGAAATGGCAAATGGGAACATGGTTTGTGAACAACAACAACACATTATTAGCTGTTTGATGACATAGTCGAGCCAAAGGCTAATGATATCAATTGCTGTTACGTGTGCGACATTGTAGAGAGCGAGACATAAAATCCTCTACCATTCTGATACATGGATGTAAACAAGCCATTATGCTCTTCCTTGCCATTGTGTAGCGTTTAATACAGAAAGTGGAGCAGGTAGTATGAGAGTGAAGGTGGGGCTAATTTGCATATTCATGACTCTGTGTATACTAAATGAGGTAAGGGCATAGAGTTTTATTCAAGCCATTTTAAGGCACGAAGAAATTATTTCACAAAAGGGTATTAAAATGTCATTTTGATTATCAAAGATGAGTTTTAAAGGATAAAATTAGTGGCTGCAGGGAGAACAGTTTACTTAAACCAGGTTGTTGAAAAAACCAGCATATGCTGGTTTGAGCTGGTCCTTAGCTGGTCCCTCCTGCTCAGGACCAGCTAAGGACCAGATTAAACCAGCTAAGGACCAGCTTAAACCAGCATCCAAGCTTCAAAACCTACCTAACCAGCATATGCTGGTTTTAAAACAACAGCTGGTTTCTATGTATTCCAGACTGAGGTGAGACCACAGGAGCTCAATGGCCTTTCAGTGAAAACACACACCATGGTTGTGTCTTAATCAAGTCACACCCTCGGATCAGGTCGAGATCTGGTTCAATCTCTCATTTCCTGTGTATCAATCAGAGGTGTCCCTCAGGCTCTGCTACTCTTAGTTCTGGTTCACGTGATCTCCTGCAGCAATCAGGAGTCCCAGAAGAGCCAATCAGAGGCAGCGTGATGGACTCTCAGAGGTGTTTATATACCTGATTAAAGTGTGTATTGTGCGTGTCTGGAGGGCTGCTCGGGGACATCATCTGACACTTGTGAAAGACTAGTGGCCCTCCAGAGTTAAAGAAAAAAAAGTACGCTTTGAACTTGTAGCGATCCTACAACAGAGTAACACTAGAAGGCATCAGCTTAATAGCTATTTTCTCAAAACTAGAAAAAATCTATTATTCTATCATGATATGTTTATACATTTTTAATCACCATTTTATGTACATTTACTGAATTATTCTAAGTGACATTTACTAGTTCATGAATTCCCTGATCATCAAACCAATAAATGTTAATAACTACTGTATGATATGCCTAACAAATATCTTCCAGATCTAGTTTCTCCAGTTTATTTAATTTAAATATAATATATACATTATATATATATATATATATCAATTTATCATTTAGAACAAATAAGTATTAAATACCTAAGTATGAAATCACTGTTAAATATTTTCCAGATCTAGTTTATTGAGTTAACTGATGAATATATATATAAATGTGACCCTGGACCACAAAACCAGTCTTAAGTAGCACAGGTGGTCCAGGGTCAAATATATATATGTTTTTTTTTTTACTGTATTTTATATTCTGTGATTAATCACGATTAATCGCACACTTCATGAAATTAAGCATAGACCATTTATCTTGTTTCAAATGTTTA